CAATATGTCGAAATTAAAGAAAAAGTAATTTAATATTGTTCTGCAGATGTACCAAATACATGAACATTAAGACATATTTAACCTAGGCAGATCTCGCATCAGTCAATTAAACTTCAACTATTTTATAGTAAAAAAAACACTGAAGTCAATTTTAAAATATTGCCACTCGATATATAAAAGTCATAAGTCAGCATTAAAAAAAAAATAATAATTAGAATGCTTTAATTGTGTTTAAGTAAAAATGCCCATCCAGTACAAAAACGATTATACAAGTTATAAATATAAAAGAGATATGGCAATATATAATGTAGTTGATATATTGTAAAATGTATTCTAATGTTAATGTTATGCAATGCTTTTTATATCAATAAAATATGTAATAAAGCTCATTATTTTGAAGTTTAAACCAATATTCATAAATATAAACTAACTAGTTTAAGGAATAGTACAATAAATAATAAATCTCCATTGACATTAAAAAGTTATCTGAGGCAAGTATCTATAACAGCAATGTAATAATATGCTTTTTATCTTAATTTTTATTAATCTGATTCTAACCTACTAAATTTGTCATGTGTTGCTATAAATGCAGTATTATTTGTATTTGTCATGAGGGATATATATGAAAATTGAATTCATCCCTGCCGGAGAAAATAAAGCTGAATCTTTAATGACTTCAGTCGAATATTACAACTAATTTAAAAATGGATAAGTAAAAATTTTTGGAAAAATTTTTATTCGGAATTGTGAATTCAGTATTCAGAACACCTATCATGATTAGTATCTTAATTTTAAGAATAGTTAGTCTAGACTGAAAACCGAATGAGCAAAGGCAAAGATCTCATAAAAAGTAAATCTTATCTTCTAAATGTGCATTATTTTATGTACAATACCATTAGAATGCTAAAATATTTATATATGTGTAATCATTTCTTATAAATATATATGTACAAATGAGAATTACAAAGTCCACCATTAAAAGCATTAGTACTTTACAATAGCACAAAAAAGATATTACTAAATGAAACTAATTAGGCTAATATTTAGACATGTATTGTACTAGTAATGAAAGATTAAAATGCATGTTCCATAGATTAGTTACTTAAATGTGGCAAAGTTATTTGAACTGTACACTATTAACACTATTTATAGCAATTTTAATTACGCATGAGAAAATACCATACCTCTAAGATTTTATGTAAATATTCTAGCGTACATATTATACATATTATATATATATATATATATATATATATATATATATATATGTATGTATATATATATATATGAATATGGCTTTTCAGATGGTGGAAGATATATATTAAAACGCTTTCAGGCATCCATACAATAATGAAAAAAATGTGAAGAAAAATGACTATCAAAACTCCAGATTTATATATTTTTTCAGTTTTATAACTAAGTTTCATCTTTTAAGTATTTCTGTTTGAAATATTTGTAAGCACCAAGGATGAGTCAAGTCCAGACTCGAAACGTTTGGAATTTTAATGAAGTCATTCTTCTTCACCAATTTGTATTATTATTGGTTCGATGTCTAAAAACATTTTATCATATTGTTTATAACAATATACACTAGAATATATAATGTGTTATGTTTGAAATAATTAACAATGTTTTAGTAACACGAACATGTAGAGTCTTGTATGTAAGTTTTAAAATGCTTTTTTGCAGATGGTGTACAAATAAATATAAAAAAATATCAGGTGCATCACATGTGAAATGAGTTTATGAGCATATGTGAATCAATGTAATGTAAATTATGATTGTTGCTCCAATATACGACTCTATTGATATATTGATCACAATTTTAATATTGACAACTAGTGCATGAATTTGGATACAAGTATGTAGCTGCGCATAAAATACTATATAAGGATAATTGTTAATACCTAACTTTATGTACAAATTAAGTCGCACTGGCAATCCAATTATGTAAGGATAATAAGGCTTTCGAAACGTCGGCACTACGTATTATAGCGTTTCTCTTTGCCTTTGCTGGCCCTCTGGACCGAAATGGGAGGGACCGCGTCTAAAGCGCGGAATCTGACGAAGCCGTGCTCGGCCACGAGCATGCTTTCGTTGATTTCGGCATCTTGCTCTGCCTTCTGATCAGACATGCGGGAATGTTGTCTACGGTCGAACTGCGGCCGTTCGGGGTAACCGGGATCTATTTTATATTCCTCATCGTACATGTGATGATCAGGAACAGCGTGATGTTTTTTTATCGCGTGGAGGATCGTTCACGTTCCGCTCTAGAAGAGCTCAGTGTCTGCACCCCCGATGATCTGCTACCGCCGCTGGACCGAATGCCGCTGGTGTGCACACCACCGATATTGCTCATTGTGCCGCTTTTTCGTACCCCCCTTCGATCAAACGAACTGTGACGTCCAGAACCGTATACATTGTGCGCTGATTGCTCATAATCACGTTCAGAATGCTGAACGCCACAACCATTCTTCACGTTTTTCATATTCTTCGAAGC